AGGCAAGAATCTTCTGTGAAGCTCTTCAGCTTCTCTCCCAGCCGCCACCACCTTCACCTTCCAGAAGCAGGGGGGTCAGGAGGGTGCTCAAGGAATCCAACCTCGGAGCAGCATCTCCAAAATAACCGGACCTCCAAATGGGCTGCTGCTGGGGAGTGTTTTATTTTGAGGCTTAAATTTAGGGGTTGGAGTCATCATCTGCCTGGCTCCCACTCCCTTCTTGGCCCAAGAAGCTAGTAACCCTGTCCTCAGACAGACGTACCCAGCCACAGCAAGCAGCCACCAAAACCACAAACAGACGGGTGATCTCCCTGTTTGGGGCAGACCAAATAAGAACCCCGTGGTGGGCAGCTGACCGGCCAAGCGCCCTTCTCCGCCCTGCCCTGAGCAAAACAGCCATCTCCACTGTTACCATAAACACACAGATGTATTTGCATCCTATGCATGCTGTCCAGCATGCTTCTGTACACAAGACAAAGTTATTTCTATATCTGGATATTCATTTCATTTCAACAGTTACCAGTAGCTAGGACCAACCCTCGGATCTGGGACCACCAAAAAAAAAAAAGAAAGAAAAGAAAAAGAAAGAAAGAAAGAAAGAAAGAAAGAAAGAAAGAAAGAGAGAGAAGGAAATAAAGATAAAGAAAGAAAGAAAGAAAGAAAGAAAGAAAGAAAGAAAGAAAGAAAGAAAGAAAGAAAGTTATACAATCCCTGATATCAGAGGGCTCCCACAGTGCTGAAGAGGACGGATAATAGAAGATATGATGGTTTTGGGTTTTCCCCTTTTTTAGAAGTGTGGCCCCAAAAGATAAAAAGGCCTCTCTGCATGGTTTTACGGTGGGGTTTTAAGGCTAATTAACTGGGGCCCTATGAGGACCAGATACCACATAGTCAGAGGTGAGGTTACTGGAATGGCCGCCATCTTATGATACCAGATTCTCAATGTGGGGTGGCTTTACCCACCACCACCACCAATTTTGCAAAGCCTGGAGGCATTTTTGGTTGTCACAACTCTGGGAGGGCAGGTGCACTACCAGAATCCAGTATGTGGAAGCCAGAGATACATGGTCGCCCGTTAGCTAGGAAACCATATAATACTACATACACCGTGAGCTAGCTAGTCAGAGGTGAGGAACTGTGGCCTTCTGACAATGAGCCCCCCAGTGCCCAAACTACCTGGTGCACCGAGGAGGCACAGGGTAAACGTTTGTTGAATACACTGTCTAGTTGACTAACATATTAGAGAGCGGGTAAATTAACAGCAGGGTAACAGAAATACACACACCTTTTTCATTCTGTTTTTTTCACGTATTCAAATCCTGTCTTGTCCCTCTTGCCACTTCCTCTCCTCCATGGATTCCTCCCGACTCCTTTGCTCAGCTCAGCATTTCTGTCTCAGCTCAGAAATGCTGTTAGCCTCACAGTCTAAAATGGCCCGGCTATCGATCAGTGCTACATGCTTTTCCTGCAGCACCCCAAGGTTCTTGGCTCTAAGTGCCAACCTCAGACACGCAATTCCTCTGTAGTACCCAGCACAGTGTGGGACCCGCAGAAGACACCTGATAAATTCTTAAGGACTGACCAGCGATATTCACATTACGTGTAGACACATGGGCTCCGACACATACATACTTAGAAGCACACCCACAATGGATGCATGCCCACATCTAGCAAGCAAGGGTCAAATACATAGCTCGTCCTGGTACTTCACATATTGGAGAGATCAAGAAGTGGAGAGCAGAGGAATATTAAATATTTCTCTCCAAAGCACACATTTTCGGAAACAGACATCAATGTAATCAGGCACTCGATTAAGGAGTTGTAAGGATGTGAATTCATTTATGGAAGATGCTTGTGAAGTTTTTGACTTCTAATCACATGAAGCTATACATTTATTGGTAGAAAAGTATATAGACGCTTCGTCAAAATGTATACCATGCGTCAACTGGTAGAACATTTGCACACTGGAAATCCTGACTGTCCTAGAAAATTTGGCATGCACCATCACTTTATCCACGCCGAGCCAGATTCCACAACCACAGACTAGGAAACACCCCTTCCTAACTCTGCCGGATTGGTCTGGCTTCCCAAACCCTTGATGGCCAGCTTTTGGGGAGTACACTTAAAAAAAATTTTTTTTAACGTTTATTTATTATTGAAAGACAGAGTCAGAGCATGAGCAGGGGAGGGGCAGAGAGAGAGGGAGACACAGAATCCAAAGCGGGCTCCAGGCTCCGAGGTGTCAGCACAGAGCCCGACGCAGGGCTTGAACCCACAAACCGCGAGATCGTGACCTGAGCCGAAGTCAGACGCTTAACCGATTGAGCCACCCAGGTGCCCCTGGGGGAGCACATTTTTTAAAGAAAATATCTCAACTTGCTCAGCGTGTGAAAAGTGGGGTTTGAATTTAAGGTAGGAGGCACTAGTCTACCCTGATGATTCTAAAGAACACTAGTGTGCTTCCCATTCAAGCAGGGACACAAAGGAAATTGACTCATCTGCTTCTCACTGTGCAATCCCCCAGAATTTCTTTCTGAAGCAAAAAAGATCCCCTTTGAGAAACATGCTTTGTCTGTCAGCATCTGCCACCTGCTTCATCTCTTCTTTCACAAGAGTCACTTCCTTTTTAGACTCTGGGTGGAGTTGGCTGAACAGAGGTGCTGGGGAAACACAGCTCAGACCTAGCTGAGCCCCAGCCCCAGCCCAGCCCCAGCCCCAGCCCAGCCCCCAGCCTCAGCCCAGCCCCAACCCCAGCCCAGACCCAGCCCAGCCCCAGCCCCAGCCCCAGCCCAGCCCCAGCCCCAGCCCAGCCCCAGCCAGGACCTAGTGATGGGGAGATATAGCACCAGCCCACCTCCACTCTGTCAGGGAACCCCAGCTTGGAACTAACAGCCTGGACACTGCAGACTGATCTCAAATCCCACCTGGGAGACTGCTCCACTCTGCCTTTCAGTTCAAGATCCTTGACTTTTGTAGAAACCCATGTCAGCCTGCCACCCGGGTCCTCAAGACTTTCCCTCTCTGGGGCACGTACAGTCTGCTAAACAAACACTGAAGGTTTCCAGTGAGCATGTGAGGAGGGGCTTTCTGGGTCAACGCATCCAAAATGCTGGCAGAGTTGGGGTGAGGGCTTCCGCAGGCAGGCCCTCTTTCTTCATTTTCAGGCAGAGGACACTGCCCTAACTTGTCTCTTAGACAAGGAACAGCCTCTCCCTTTTTTCCAAGCCTGCAAATGAGAGCATGTCTAGAAGGGCAGCTGGACGCTGATAAGGGAATTGACTTATTTTAGTAACAAATAACTAGGTTGGCATCTCTTGACAGCTGTGGCCAAGCCTAGGGAGAGAGAGTCCAGGGTAGGGCAGAGTAGAGCAGCCGGGAGTCCACAGCCTGCCAGGCGGAGCGAGAAAGCCATTCACACCAGGCTTCACGTTAGCTGGTCACAAGGGATGGGGAGGATATGGGAACGACATACACATGCAATTTCCAAAGCAGTGAATCAAAGGGGCGTTATCATTGGAGTCCAACACGGGGTGGGGGGGTGTTAGACAATGGGAAATCCCAGCTCCACCATTTACTAGCTGTGTGTCCTTGGGCAAGTCATAACACCTCCCTGAGTCTCAGTTTCTTGATCTAGAAAATGGGGTTAACTAAACATATTTAGCACGTCATGAGGCTTCCATAGAATAATCTATTCAAACCCCCTGGCGGAATGCCTAGCACAAAGCCAGTGCTCAGTAAATGCATTTCCTGGGACTTAGAACCCTACTTTGCAATAGGAGCGTCAGGCTTTTACAACAGGGGTGCTCTTACCTCTGAGGGATTTAGCCATCCTCCAAGGAGGCCCTAGAGGCCCTAGGACAGTACAGAGCCTCTTCCTCGAGAAGCACTTTTGTTTTGTGGTAAGAAATATATACCATTATTCTTTATCTTAAGCTCAAACCGTGTATATTATAGAGGAAAATAAAAAATTGTAGTGAATGTGGAAGGTAGCATTTAGGGTGTGAAACCAGTGTTAGGCTCACCCCGGGGACAGAGGTGGAGTCCTTGGTGATGGGGGTATTTCAGAGCCCCGTGGATGGAAGATGTCCAGCCCTAAGTCTGCTGCGAGAGAGAAAGTCACTCCTCCCTCCTATTCGGGGTCTGCTTCCTCCATGGGAAAAAGAAGGGTTTTTCTAAATGGTCCTTGGAGTCCCCATTGGTGAGTCTATGACAATGAGTCAAGAAATACTTGTTGAATGAATGGAAGGGGATCTGTCATAACTTAAGAATTTCATGCTGCCCATGCTGCTTCTGCGTGGGGCAATTTGGAAGAAAATGGAACCATTTCTTACTGGCCGCCAGCCTCACACACACCTACTTGGCATGGCGCCTTGGCAGGAAATGAGATATCCAATGTGTATCTGGGGAATAACTGAATTAATTGATGCTAACCTCAGTAGTGATGGATTTCTTGCTTCTCCACCTGGGAAAACACAGCCAAAGCCCTAACTCCCAGGAAGAGGGGTCTCTAATACTCCCAGGGAGCAGAAGGGCACTTGTCACCCCCAAGAGCTCTCTGATGTACCCCTCTTTCTCAACACCAGGGGCGCAATTCCCCAGCAGTGACCTCTGGCCCACAGGAGAAAAGAGACACGAGACGTGGGAGGGCTCATCCCACTTGTCCTCCACCCAGGGCCACTTTCTACTTCCTGCATATGACACCTAATTCATAGTGTCCTCCAACTTAATTTCTTGTCCAGTGTTGCTTAACTACATCTGGCCATTTCTCTACTTTTTGCTTCCGGATATGAAGGATGGACCCTTTCTTCCTCCCCAAAGCCTTGCTCCTTTCCAAAGTTTCCTCATTGTCTTCTGGAGGTCCCCCACCCCCAACTGGGATCCTGGGGCAAAAGTACTGCCTCTCCTCCCCCTCCTCTGCCTCCTTCCCCTCTCTGCCTGCCCCGCCAAGCTGCTGTGAAGTCGCATCTCCCTTCCAAGTCTCAGTTCCTTCCAAACAATGTTACAAGCACATGAAAGCCAAGGCCCAGGCAGTTACTGCCACTGGCACTTTTTTGTGCTTCCTCCAAAGGACACTTCCCAAAAGGAGCATGAAAACGTGGGGCAGGAGTGAACCCTCTGGTCTCTGGGTCAGGATGGTGTCAAATATTTGGGGATGCGACCCTTAAGAAGAATCAGGGAGGCAGGTTGGAAGGAGTCAAGAGTCAGAATCCTCAGAAACAAAGCAGAAGACATCACCAAAAGGTAATGTACAAATAAAGTTCCCTGGAGGTCTCAGAGAAGGCCAGGGCTCTTCCTGCACTCCAGGTTTTCTCTTCTCTGGCGTCCCAAGTGTTTTTGCCTTTCAGTGACTTGTTGGAGCTCAGGTCGCCTTGGAAGCCTCCGATGGCCTCGGGTCCACCTCAACCCTCCATCCCCAGACTCTTTCCGAGTACGCCCATGCCATACATACAGTCTAACGTACTCCCACTAAACACAGACTAATGGACCTGGGTTCACATGCGCACCAATCCTTCTGGCTGTGTGAGAACTGGCAAGTTACTTAACCTCTCTGAGTCTCGGTTTGTTTCCCTCCTGAAGCCGGGCTAGTAACAGGACGCTTCTTGCTGGGCCACCGTAAGGGCAAAATAAGGCAACACTGGTAAACATTGAGCACAGTGTCCGGCACAGTGAAAGCGTGCGGTAAAATGCTGGCTGGTGCTGTCATTTCTTCTATTATTATGATTATTATCATTATTATTCTTTGTGTTTCAGGAATCTGAATCTTTGATCCCCACTTATTCCCAGTCTGCAGGATCCAGGTAAGACTGTATCTTTACTTTCTTGGTACCCCCCAGAGCTGGGTTTAATAAATCCTTGCCGAGCAGAATTAACCATAGGCTGAGCTGTCTTAATGACCCAGCTGGCACTTCTTAAAAGAAGAATTAATTTTGCTAGCAATAAGCAAATCAGCCATGTAATTATCCGTACATATACAGACAAAGGGAAGGAACGCTTGGAGTTCGGTCTCACCAGACTACCTCACATGCCGACACCCACTCCACAGTCACTGAAAGATACAGCTCCTGTTTGGATGGGGGTATCGGCAGCCCCAGGTCCAGGGTCCCTAACACGACCCTGATGCCCAGGCTTCCCCCCACCCCCCCACCCCCCTCCCTGCTCTGAGCCTGCCAGGCTGGGAATATGAGCCACCTTACTGTCTGGATTTCCCCTAACTGATTGGCAGGAGCAGGAGGTTTGAGTAGCTGGTTCAGTCATTACTTTTCCACCTCACACTCCCTGCCCCAGGCTGGCACCTCGTGGAAACCCAGAACCTCCCAGAGCTGGTTCAAGTTCCCACAAGCGCTAGTCAGTGACTGGAGCCAACTGGAAGAGCTTTGGAACCCAGGCCGGGTGGGGAGCCGCAGGGCGCCGGCACCCCTTTCTGGAAGGCTCATTGCCACCAGCTCTCACACCAACACCTCTGTGGCCACCTGGTCAGTAGCCCCGGCCCCTGCCCCGCCTAGCCCTGCCCTGCCCGGGGAAAGCCCAGCCAGGCTTCCAGCGCCCTTGGGCACAGGAGCCCGTTGGTCCAGACACCGGCGGCGCGCACCCTGGAGTACAGTTACTTTCTGCCTTGTGCTCCGGCACCCGCGACCTCACCCAAAACTGCGCGCAGGCAGCCGGCCCGGCCAACTTTCTTCGCTCTTTCTCTTTTCCTTTCAACAAAACGGTGCTTCGCACCAACCCACACTCCGAGAGCTTAGCGCAAATCCTCGCCCCGCTCTCCTTCACCAAGTCCACGCCGCTGGCCGCCCGCTGGCCTCCCGTCCCCGGGGGCCCACTCAGCCAGGTGGCTGCAGGGTCCGTCCCGGCCGCCCGGGCCACTCCCTCCCGCTGCCCCCGAGGCACTCACCGATCTGCGCCAGGCTCAGCTGCGAGAGGCACAGTCCCCAGGCTAGGCGCCACCAAAACTTGTCCATGGTGAGAGCGAACCGAGGGGGCGAGCGCGGGGCGCCGGGGGTGGGGTCCGGTGCGCTGGGCGGGGGCCGGCGGAGCACGGGGCGAGCTGGGCGGCCCGAGCCTATCGGGGGCTGGGGTCCGGCTGGGCAATGAGGGCGCCTGGGAAGTTGGGTGCAGTTTTTATTCAAGGGCTGAAAGAGTGACCTAAGAGGGAGGGAGGGAGCGAGGGCAGGACACACCCAAGCGAGGGGGCTGTGACTAAGCAGCCCGCAGAGGTTTAAAGACGCAGCAGCCCTCCCCTGCGCTGGCCCTTCCGCCCCCGCCCCCGCCCCCGCCCCGCGCCCGGAGCCGCGCAGAGACCGTAAACGCGGGCGGCCTTAACGGGCGCCGCGGGGGCCCCGGGGGTGCCCGTGAGCCCCGGGACGCACCGGTTTCCTCTCCCGACCCGCTGGAAGGGCGGCCTCTGGACGGGCCAGGGGATGGCCCGTCCTGAAACCTTAGCCCGGTTGGGTTTGAGCCTCCGACCCCTCCTCTCCGCTAGGTTTCTCTGTGAATGGCGCTGGAGAGTGATCTCTAGGATTTCACCGGCAGCTGGATATTCTGGGACAGGAGATGGGATGGGGGCGAGGTCCGGCACTGGGTAGTGGCGCTCCCCAGCTCACGGTGGCAAGGAGGGGTGGGGAGCTTGTGATTCTTCCCAGGGGAAGAGGACGTGCGCACTCTTGTTCCCCTGAAAGAGAAGCGAAGTGGAGTTTTCCTTCTTACCAGGGCGGCTCAGAGAAAGCTAAGGATGGCCAGCCAGGGGGCTGCTCTTTCCCTCCTCCAACCCATGTGTCATCTTCCAGTCCCAGGCTGGCACCTGGACCCATCCACTCATTCATCCATCCAGTCACCTGTATTCATTCATCCTCCCAAACATCGTTCCACCTGCCCATTCATCTTCTACCCATCTTTGCTCACATCCTACAGGGCTGTTGCCCCTTCCATCCACTTGTCCAACGGCACATCCTTTCTTCTAGCCATCCATCTCCCACTTCTTCTTCCAACGACCCTCCCATACAACTTCTCCTCCACCTTCACATACACTTTTCCACACCTCTTCATAACCCTACATCCATCCGTCTGTATACTGTCCTCCTCTCCAGCCAGCCAGCCAGCCAGCCAGCCACATTTGTTCCTCAGTGTATCTATCCAGTGCCCATCATCCACATCTCCATTCGCCATTTTATCCACCCTCTCATCCACCAAATATCCACCCACTCTCTCTTGCTCCTATTTATACTCCTAGCTAAGCAAACATTAATCCACTTGCCCCTATCTGTCCTCCCCAATACATCTCAGAAAGGGGAGGAAGATGGTCCCCGGAGGGATTTCGCATTAGAAAAATCATACTTTGAGGGGCGCCTGGGTGGCTCAGTTGGTTGAGCGGCCGACTTCGGCTCAGGTCATGATCTCACAGTTCGTGGGTTCGAGCCCCGCGTTGGGCTCTGTGCTGACAGCTCAGAGCCTGGAGCCTGCTTCGGATTCTGTGTCTCCCTCTCTTTCTCTGCCCCTCCCCCACTCATGCTCGCTCGCGCTCTCGCTCTCTCTCTCTCTCTCGGTGTCAAAAATAAATAAAACATTTAAAAAATTTAAAAAAAAGAAAAATCATACTTTGCATTATAATCTCATATCTACCTGTAACATCCCGTGATTTGACATTTGAAAAGCAAAAGCAGTGTTTCTTGTTCATGTGGACCACTGAAAGTGTATCTGAATGGGCTTCTCGCCTGGTGGGGTACATAGAAAATGGTAATGGCTGTCAGGGACTGTGGGACTGAATTCTCGCCAGGCTAGCATTCCCGAGCCAAAGGAATTCCCTTTTGATTTTGTTACTTATTGAAAGAAATTGAAAAATTGAGAGAAATTGCATGCAGCTTTCCTTATTCATCAAGCATGTAGCGAGCGCTCGCTCAAGAGTATCAAGATGGAAAGGATCTGCCCTATCTATCTTCAGGGGCCTCACACTCTGGCGGGGAATCAGACTCACAAGCCGGCTGTCACCACACAATAAGAAATGTGCTGTGAAATGTGTGTGACAATATCCACGGCAGAAGATCGCTATGGACAGCCGTCTTGCTATATCCATCTGAGAGAAGAGAGCCCGCAGAGCACTGCACCCTTTCCTGGGGAACACCAGACCAGGGGGCCTTCCCAAGGGAGGTGATATTTGAGGTCTTGAGGGAGGAGGAGGGATTCTTCAGAAGAAAGGGCAAGGGCACAAGACATCCAGCAACAGCATTACTCTGTAGTAATTAACTGCAAGGATTTAGGAACCAGGACGCCTGGCCTCGTACATTGCGTTGTGCAACCTTAAGCAAGTAAATTAGCCTCTAGGCCTCGGTTTTTCTCACATCTAACATGGGGTTAATATCAGTGTCCTTTCCGTAGGATTGGTGAGCAGTAAATGGCTCAAAAGTCCTGCATATATTAAGCACTATATGTATATATATACGCATATAGTAAGCTCCGTAAATGTGTTTGCTATCATGACTAAAAGCAAAATTGTGACTAAGCAGGGAAAAGTGAAAGCACATGACTTGCTCAGGCAATGTCATAGAGCGGCTTGCATGTTCGATTAGATGAAGATATCGAGGGAGGACAGCAAGAAGGGAGGCCAGAGAGGTAAACAGGACCCCCCCCCCCCCCCCCCCCCCCCGCCCCACCGCCAGCTCAGGTCATAGACTACGCCAGGAAGTTTGAACTTGACCCCTAGGAAATAGTGAGCCATAGAACTTTCATTATTATTGTTGGTCTTGCTGCTGTTATTGTTGTTGTTATTATTATTGTGCTAAAATACACATATCCTAACATTTACCATTGCAGCCATACAGTGGCCCTCAGAATCTCACGTTCACAGAATTGTGTGGCTATCACCACCGTCTTGGTCAGCTTGGGCTGCCAGAACTGAGCATCACAGGCTGGATGGCTTACGCGGCAGAGATTTATTTGTCACAGTTCAGGAGGCCGGGAAGTCCCACATCAGGGCGCCAGCATGGCTGGGTTCTGCTGAGAACAGTCTTCTGGGTTTGCAGAGGGCTGGCTGTCTTCTATCCTTACATGAAGGGGGGGAGAGAGACAGAGACAGAGAAGGAGGCAGACAGATAGGGAGGGAGAGAGACAGAGAGAGAGGAAAGGAGAGAGAGGGAGGAAAGGAGAGGGAGAGGGAGGGTGGAGAAGAGAGGGAGAGAGGCAGAGAGAGGGAGAGAGGGAAAGAGAGAGGGAGACTGAGATGGGGTGGGGGAGGGGCCAAGCTTGCTGGTGGGTCCTTCTTATAAAGGCACTAATCCCTTTCATAAGGGCTCCACCCTCCTGACCTAATTACCTCCCAAAGTCCCCACCCCCAAATACCATCACCCTGGGGGTTAAGAGTCCAAAATACGAATTTGGGGGAGACAAACACGCAGCCAATAACAAAGGCTTTCCAGTTCAGTGTAAGGGTTCGAGTTGGGGAGAGCCTGCTTGAGTGTAGGCTGCTCCTCCTGCATTCTCAGGGACCTGCTCCCCAGCCACCAGTGGCCAGTTTCAAGATTCAGGGGGGAGGGGGGTGGGGGAGGGGGGGGGGGTGCCAGCTGGAAAGAGAACGGTGCCTCTGACCCCTATCGGAAAGGCAGGCGCTTTGAAAAATGCTGCCCGTAGTGGCAGAGTTGTCTGTCCCCAAGAGGCACCGCCTTCCTGAAACACATGGGGGCAGCCTGCCCCCCCCCACCCAAGAAGATATCAGACTTTAATCACCTGAGAAGCCAGGCCTAGTGAGTTCCCTGGAAAGGGCACTGGCCCAGGAGTGACCTCGCAGATCTCCCATTACTTCCAGGGCCTTGTTGCAAGAGGGGAGTGAAATGGGATGGTATTCACTGCAACGATGTGTTTACATTGTCTTACCGCGTTTCAGAACTTGCAGGTTCCTGGAGACCCTCAGAGACAGACACAGAGATCAAAGCAAAGGCTTAAGCGGGGGCTGTGCCTCCCCCCACCCTGACCCCATTCCAAGCGCAAAAGTTCCAAGCTTATCAGTTTGATAACCTTAGAGGACTGTGGGAGGCTTTATTTCCACAAAGGATTTTACTTTGAAAAAGTTATATAAAAACCGCTCAACGAGGCCATCTCCGACGAAGCCTGGTTCCCTGCTGCATATGTGCAAGTTGTAACAATCGGCCGATGAAGCACGGAGTGGGAAGGTGCCTCACAAAGGTTAGGGGGCCATGCAAATTCTTCCAGGAGGAAATATTTTGCCTGCCTGCTTCCCGACAGTTTAGTGAGGGACTGACTGAGGTTGTTTGCCCCATGCCACAAGTGAGTCATTTCAAACTGACCTGACAATTCACTGAGTCAGGACCAACCTCCTGGATCACCTCTGTGCGCTAACCCTCTCACTGTCTTTCCACCCCACACTCCACCCCCCCCCGCCCCCTCCCCCCTACACTGGCCCTACCACGGTCTCACAAAGACATTCCCATGCTCTTTTTTGTGACTGTATAACGCTTAGGTCCTTAAAGTTACTGATTTTGGATGTTCAGTATCTGTTGTGTGTTGCACCAATTACCTTTCTAAGTGAAACCAGGGGATGTGGGAAACTGGAAGAGAGAGCTTGAATTGATCTGACTTAACATGAGGTTACACTACTAGGTCAGGGTCCAGGACACGACTGGCAGCCTTGGACTGAGGAAGCCCAGGTCTGAGCAGTGGCTCACCCCCTTATCAGCCCGGTGAGTTCACTTGGGTCACTTAACCTCTGGGAGTTTGGGTTATTTCGTCTACCACATGAGGTTCATAAGATCTTTCTCACAGTCTATTGTGAATAGTAAGTGAAAGAAGGCGTCAGGACTCTTTACTGGGGGGCCGGCCTCCTGGTAGGGCTCAGCTATCCACCAACCGCTAAGCTGCCTGAGGACAGGGCCATGTCTGTCTTAGACGCTGTCATTACGAGACTCTCAGTTCCTGACTATTCCCTGTCTCTGACATATACACCTTTCCCAATAAAGAATGGCTTGTTCTTTTTCTTCCCGAGACACTTTACAGGGTGACTTTGGGAATTACAGGAGCCAATAGATAGCAGCATTTGGACAAGCTGACGCTTTCTAGACAAATGCAAGCCGCGGCGTCCGATCTGGGTGACCGTTTTCAGACCTGGTGGAATTTGAGCGTGGCTCACTCTAGCAGACTAGGATTCGTATGTTTATCTTTCCTGAATTTGGGGGCC